GGTAACTTGACTGGTAACTTGACTGGTAACTTGACTGGTAACTTGACTGGTAACTTGACTGGTAACTTGACTGGTAACTTGACTGGTAACTTGACTGATAACTTGACTGATAAACTTACAAACAAAGCAACGGACTTCGTAAGATGGAATTAAATTGAAAATATTTAATAATGTTAATAATTTAATAACAATTAATGTGGATGTTAGTGGTTTTAGAAGGCAATTTTAATAATGATCTCTTTTTCCTCTACGAGATAACAACTTTCATTCATACTCGACAAAAAACAAAAAAAACTTATATTTATTACAAACTTTAAATCTCTGTACCAGGTCTTCAGGTACGAATAGCATTGAGTGTATCTCTAAACTAAAGGCTAATTGAAAACGGTAAAAAATAAATAAATGAATAAACGAAGAAACTTTCATACAGTAGACTCCGAAGGCATGACCTAATTTACAACGAAAAAGTTATTTCAATTGCAGACCAAGGGTTAATTAACTAAACAAGACCATTTCTAGAGGGGTCTAAATCAAGTTACGGTCTGGTTCCCAATATTAACTAAACAAGACCATTTCTAGACCCCTGATTTAGTTCAATAGCAGATCAAGGGTTAATTAACTAAATAATACCATTTCTAGACCCCAGACCCCTGAGGCAGACCAGCGAAGACCTCGTTGGTCTGCTGCGTGACTCTAATAAAAGTTGTTCTCTTAGGCAGCTCCTTGAGCTTAGCCGCGCCCGTGTAGGTGCAGGCCGAGCGTAGGCCTCCTAGAATATCTAGGAGCGTCCCCTCCACGTCCCCTCGGTAGGGGATCTCCACGCTCTTCCCCTCACTAGCCCTGCACACTCAGAGAAATTAGGACAAAGGCGTCCCCTCCACTCAGAGAAATTAGGACAACAGCGTCACCTCCACTCAGAGAAATTGGGACAACAGCCCTCATTTGCCCAGCACACTCAGAGAAATTAGGATAACAGCGTCACCTCCACTCAGAGAAATTAGGACAACGGCCCTCAGTTGCCCAGCACACTCAGAGAAATTAGGACAACAGCTTCACCTCCACTCAGAGAAATTAGGACAACGGCCCTCATTTGCCCAGCACACTCAGAGAAATTAGGACAACAGCTTCACCTCCACTCAGAGAAATTAGGACAACGGCCCTCACTTGCCCTGCACACTCAGAGAAATTAGGACAACAGCGTTCTCTCCACTCAGAAAAATTAGGACAACGGCCCTCAGTTGCCCAGCACACTCAGAGAAATTAGGACAACAGCCCTCACTCGCCCTGCACACTCAAAGAAATTAGGACAAAGGCGTCCCCTTGGTAGGGGATCTCTACAGCATCTCCGAGGTTATAGATATATTAACGCATTATAAATATATACAAAATAACAATATTATACCATCGTAATAAAATACACTTTTGTGACAGTAGTAATAGATAAGTATCTATTTACTACTAGTAATATAAAAATATTACTACTTCTACTCCTACTTTTATAACTAATATTAATACTAGCAGCAATAAAAGTAAAGATAAAACCAAGTAGATTCACCATATCATTTTGAAGACGTTTCGGCTCCATCACTTAAAAATTTTTTTCAACAAATGATGAAACTGGTGCGTCAAAAGTTGGAGTCGAAAACATAAAAATAGTGATGATTATCATAAAATAATAATGATGATAAAAATAAAAATGATGGTGGAACTGGTACGCGAAAAGTCTGAGTCGAAAACTTAAAAATAGTGATGATGATAAAAATAATGATTAAGGTGGAACTGGTGTGCGAAACGTTTGAGTCGAAAACTTAAAAATAGTGATGACGTTGATAAAATAATTATGATGGTGAAACTGGTGCGCGAAAGGTTTTTAAGTGAAGCGATGATGAACTTATATACTTGAAGGTTTCATTGTTTTTATATGTTTGTAACCTTACAATATAAACAGACTAATGATATGAAAACTTATCAGCACTTCAGATTGATATATACGAAAATAACAACCTCTACATGACTAAAATAACCGGACGAAATGTGTATAAAAATACATAAATATATTATATATTTATAAAATAACCTGATCTGAAACAACCTGAATAGTTTTATCATAAAAAATACAAGATAATAGTAATTACAAGAAGGAGAAGATTATTATATCACTAAGATCAGCTTTATTTATTTAAAAATAATTTAGAATTCTTTAAATTTAACCATTAATATAAAAATAATTTCCGAATTATTAACGGCCAGCCAATAACTGAGGGAAGGCCACCGATAGTAAACCACAAAAAAAAAAATTAATGGGTGATTCTGTCCAATTAGTGATGAATTTTTTGATCGTTGTTATTTATATGGTTTGTATGGCTGTGATCGCCCACGGTGTGTCAGGCAAAAAATGCATCGAAATTTGCACAAAGTTCCATTCATATCCTTGAGTGATCAATTTACTTTGAAGTTGCAATGTTCACATCACAATGGCGCTCAGATAACAGAGATAACGAACAACTTAGATAAAGAACAACCGAGATAAGGAAGACTCCAGCTGATAAAACCGCGTCGGAGGAGCACGAGACGATCTAGGGTAGCTTTTCCGAAAAAAGTCAATATTTAGTATGTGTAAAATAAATATTGACCAATAAAATTCGCAAATTTTGGGCCTGTAAAAAAATAATAATAATAAAATAAATAAAAAAGTCAATATCGTAATTATATCATTACTTTGGTTAAAGCGCAAGTTCACCAAGAATTTAAAAGCAAAGAGAACGCAAAAGAAATTTTTTCGTCTAAAAATTCAAATATATTTACCATATTTTCACAGAAAAGATTTCGGAGACCAGCTCCATCACAATCATAGCTTGGGGACGGTGGACAACATAGGCGGTGCATCAGCATGACCATGGACCAATAAGTCCTAAACTTAGGAAATACGGTCTCTGAAAAGTTTTCAATGAAGATTTGATGAATTAATTTAGAATTTTAAGCGAAGATATAGTGAAATAATTTGGCATTTTCTTTGCATTTAATTTTTGATAAATTTTGAATTCTTCATTCAATTATATAAAAAAACTTAGATGAAGATTTGATGAATTAACTTAGAATTTCAAGCGAAGATATTGTGAATTAACTTGGCATTTTCCTTGCTTTTAAATTTCCTGGTAAATTTTAAATTTTCCATTCAATTACCTATATAAAAAAGTGGGCCAAGAAAGAAGGCCTAAACTTAGGACACACGGTCCCTGAAATGTTTTCAATTAAAATTTGTTGAATTACCTTGGCATTTCTAGCGAAGATATGTTGAATTAACTTGTAATTTTCTTTGCATTTAAATTTTTTGATAAATTTAGATTTTTTCATTCAATTATATAAAAAATACAACTCAGTACTCACTGCAGTGAGTGACAGAGAGCGCATTTTCTCGTCGACGAAAACGTGAAGTCACGGACGGACGGACGGGCAGACAGACGGACGGACATGGCGAGCACAATAGTGCATTTTTTCCATGAATGAGAAAATGCGCTAGGTAAATTAACTTGGCATTTTTATTTGCATTTAAATTTTTTGGTAAATTTTGATTTCTTCATTCAATTATATAAAAACCAACTTACCTGTACTCAGCCACGCCCCCCACATATTTCTTCATGGCCGTAGCGCTGCTCATGCCGTAGAATTGTTTATATTTCTTGCCCCCCCTCTCGACCAGCTGCCCCCCACTCTGGTCGTGCCCCGCCAGCATGCCCCCCATCATCACAAAGTCCGCCCCCCCTCCAAACGCCTTCGCTATGTCGCCTGGACATGTACAGCCTCCGTCCTGAAAAATGGATAAATTAGCGAAACCATTCAATATTATTTAAGATTATTATTAAAAATACAAAATGTTCAAGTATTTATATAATTAGTCTCCAGGGCAGGTGATAGAAATAAACCCATGCAGTTAAAGTTTGTAGCAGAAGTCAACGAAGATTTAAGCAACAAAGCAGTTTTAGAGCAGGGTTGGAGCAGGGTTGAGGCAAGTTTAGAGCAGGGTTGAGGTCGGTTTAGAGCAGGTGTAAATCGGGCGTAGAGCAGGTGTAGAGCAGGTTCCGAGCGAGCAGTTTTGGAGCAGGTTTAGAGTAGGTTTATAGCAGGGCAAGGGATGTAAGTCAAAGTCATCATTTATTATGAATATAATCATTCAATTTTATTTATTTTTTAGTATTTCTTACTTCAATATAATTCCACATAAATCGGCGTCAAAATTGACATGATTGCCCCTAACATGCTACTCTACTGCTTCTAACCTGCCCTGGCGGCGCCGACCCGGCTTAAATGCTGCTTCGAATTTTTAAACTAGTTTGAAAACTAATCTTACTTGAAAATATTAAAAATATTATTAAAGTATTTATATCATCAGTCCACTGGGCAGGCGCAGTCCTCGTCCAGGAGGGGGAATTAATGATATAATTTAAAATTGTTTCAAAAAGTGAAATATTTAGATCATTAGTCTGCTAAATTGCAAATTAAATTTCAAGCATATAAAATGCCTTCGCTCATGGAAAGAAAAATCATCGATGTAATTTAACAATGAATACAAATATCAAAGTATTTATATATATATATATAGGTAGATCTAAATACAATTAATCGCAAATAAACAAAGAATTTAAGAACTAAGTAGATTTCAAGTAAATTCACAATTACTTCGTTATAAATTATGGTGACAATGAGCCATAATTTAATTTAAAATATTTCCACAAAAATTAGGGAGAATTTAATCTGCATTTTTTCATTTGAAATTCGTGAAGAAAATTCGTAAAATTCGACCTGATGGCTGTCACGAAGGAAGATAATATGATGGATGATAATGGCTCTTCAGAAAATATTATGAAAATAATGTATGATAACGGCCTCATCTTCAGAAAAAACTTTACCCAATTTAGTTTGAATTTAACTTAGAAACAATTATCAATGTATCATGAGTTGTATTAATATGTGTTAATAGAACAAATTACACATTCTCTGACAGTAATAAAAATAGCATGTATAGGTTAATCATAATGCAATTAATTAATTGATAATTTGTTAAATAATCTTCAAGCACGGAGCTCATACGCGGGATTACGTGCCCCTCACCGAGATGATGTGCCCCTCACCGCCCCTCACCGAGATGATGTGCCCTCACTGCCCCTCACCGAGATGATGTGCCCTCACTGCCCCTCACCGAGATGATGTGCCCCTTAAGGCCGTGGGCAGCGTCAGCACCTCACCGAGATGATGTGCCCCTTAAGGCCGTGGGCAGCGTCAGCACACTCGATGACAGCAGAGAGTTGCGGGTAGCCCACGCCCGCCTTCTTGCGCGTGGTGCACACCGAGCCTGGGCCTATGCCCACCTTGATGACGTCAGCGCCTGACAGTATCAGCTCCTCTATCATCTCGCCTGTCACTACGTTGCCCGCCTGCATCATCAGTACCATCGTTAGTATCATCATTAGTATCATCATTAGTATCATCATTAGTATCATCATTAGTATCATCATTAGTACCTATCATTAGAATCATCATTAGTATCATCATTAGTATCATCATTAGTATCATCATTAGTATCATCATTAGTACCATCATTAGTACCTATCATTAGAATCATCATTAGTACCTATCATTAGTATCATCATTAGTATCATCATTAGTATCATTAGTATCATCATTAGTATCATCATTAGTACCTACCTATCATTAGTATCATCATCAGTATCATTGTAATTAAAAAAAAATTCACTGATAACGTCAGAGACTGATAAGTAGGCCTATCCGGTGGACGACAAAGGCGGTGCATCAGCACGACATTGGGCAAGAATCTCTAAAACTTGACATAATGATATAACATCAATATCATCATCAGTATTCGGGGATAAGATTAATTATAGTGCGGTCATTGCCATCAGTATAATAATTGGTGAAATTATCAACGAAGACTTAAAACTGGGTGAAAAACTGACGACGACAGAAGACTAATGAAACTATTAAATTAAGACTAATGCGTTAAGTTACTAATAAAACTAACAAATTAAGACTAATACTCAAGAAGCGTGTATATGAATCAAGACTTATGAACAGAGTAAATAATGACTTATGTACCGTTTAACACGTACGTAGACTCCGATGTGGTACATAAGCCTATCACGATATGTATTTCTCGAGGCCGTATAGTGGCACATAATGCAGGGTTGCCAGATGGCGTAAAAAAGGCCAAGTCCGCGAACAAAAAACGCAAAAAGGCTATAACTTAATATATACTAGTATATTTGTAGGTTCCAGTCTAAAAATTCCATTTCTTTTTCTGTAGTTTTTAAAATTAAATTAGGAAGTACCCATATCATAAATTTTAGTCGGCCATCACAATTGAAAAAAAAATAACTCGTGGAATTTGTCCGGAAAAATGACCGTCTGGCAACCCTGTTTCACAATAGTACAAAAATTGAAATAATGGTACAAGATAAAGCAATCAAGAGTCAACGTGTTAATCAAGACTAGGGAAGTCGTTAAATAATAAATATTAATAAATATAATTAATGCGACTCACGAATATAGTATGCGTGGGGAAGCGCTCACGCACTTTACGCACGTAGTCTACGAACACTTCAGAGTAGCCGTTCGCCACGTCCAGACAGATGAAGCTCAGCTGTGATACGAATAAATGCGTAGAAATAATCATGATAATTGATTAATTAAAGTAATTAAACTAATTAGGAAATATTGCAGATTTAGTATTAGTGTCTGGGAGCGGCTACGAAAAAATGTGCAGAAATTGATTAATGGATTATCACTAATTCTTCTAATTAGGAAATCTTACAAAATTAGAATTAGTGTCTGGAAGTGGCTACGAAAAATGTGCAGATATAATCATGACAATTGATTAATGAATTGACACCAATTCTACTAATAAGGAAATAGTAGATAATTACTATTAGGGTCAATCATATTCTTATTTCAGGGCACTTATATAATCAGGAGTCTAGTAGCAGCGATTATTGCAGAAGTAATAGGTAGTAGTTTAATTATGAGAAGTCAATAGTACAGAAATCGTACAGAATTCATAGTGGGCACTCCTTTTACTATTCGAGTCATTATTTTGAGTCAGTTATCAGGATTTAATCATTATTTAAAGTCCCACCAGCGTCAGTTATTTTAAATAATAAAGTTTATTCTTAAAAGTCCCATCAGCGTCGATTAGTTTAAATATTAAGATCAATTATTAAAAATACCACCTGGAGCAGTTATTTTAAATATTAAAATTCATTATTGAAAGTCCCATATGGGGCACTTTATCCCGGATCTTCCAGCATACCGCCGCTAGTTCAGCATTAGTAGTGCCCTCAAAAACATAGCTACTTAAAGTTGTTCAATTATTGAAATTAAGTATTTATTTTAATAATACAATTATTAAAATACAATTATTTAAAAGAACTCTGACCTGGGGCAGTTTATGACCAGCATACAGCCGCTAGTTCAGCATTAGTAGTGCCCTCTAGAACATAGCTACCTAAAGTTGTTTAATTAATGAAATTAAATATTTATTTTAATATACAATTATTAAAATACAAAATGTTTTTTAACAACTCACACCTGGTATTCAATGGCAAGTATTTATTTTAATTCTACAATTATTAAAATACAAATGTTTTTCAACAAGTCCTACCTGGGGCAGCTTATGAAGGATCTCCTGCAGCTTAGCGAAGTCCTGATCCGAGATCCCTGAGGACACCGCGACGTAGTCCAACAGCTCGGGGTGTACCGTGCCAAACTGCAGCCACTCTTCTACCGTGTAGTGCTTGTGCACGGTAGTGAACGCACGGTGCTGCACGGTACAGGGATGTGTAGTGCTTGTGCACGGTAGTGAACGCACGGTGCTGCACGGTACAGGGATGTGTAGTGCTTGTGCACGGTAGTGAACGCACAGTGCTGCACGGTACAGGGATGTGTAGTGCTTGTGCACGGTAGTGAACGCACGGCGCGTTCCCTCCCTTCCCCCCCTTATGGGGGGGGAGGGGCTTTTTTAGCGCATTTTTCAGATTCGGTCGTGTCTGTCCCGAACGTATCAGGTACCAAATACGCGCGCCCCACGATCGCCCCAAGGTCGACAGGTGTTTCACAAGATTCTTTTTCGACGCTTATTTCGCTCCGGCAACCGGAACCTAAAGCGGACAGAGAGCCGCTAATTTACACCGCTAGGCGAGCTTGGGGCGTCCTTGAGCCAGCGGCTGACAGGAATAAAAGTTTCGAAGTGTAGTGCTTGGGCACGGTAAAGTCAAGTGTAGTGCTGGTGCTGCACGGTACAGTCACGTGTAGTGCTGGTGCTGCATGGTATAGTCGCGTGTAGTGCTGGTGCTGCATGGTATAGTCGCGTGTAGTGCTGGTGCTGCACGGTATAGTGTCGTGTAGTGCTGGTGCTGCACGGTATAGTTGCGTGTAGTGCTGGTGCTGCACGGTATAGTGTTCACATCACGACCACGACGTGCCATATCAGTCGTGTAGTGCTGGTGCTGCACGGTATAGTGTCGTGTAGTGCTGGTGCTGCACGGTATTACTATGATATGCCATAAGCCATTATAGGTATCATCCATCATAATTATCATCCACAAACAATTTGCAATAGTTTCTACCCTTAATTTGATCGACATTTTTTGTAATTCATCCTTACTAACTATATATATTAAAAGTATCATTGATCAACACTATAAGCTTAACAAAATTTTTCGTTTATTAGGCACCTTACGGTAATGAGATATTGACGAAAATATGTGCAGAATATACGAAATAAATACTACGAATAATTTACCAATATGAATACAGATAAGTAATAATAATAAATACGAAAACAAATACAAAAATTACCAAAATTATTAGGAATAGAATAGAAATAGTCCAAAAACAATTAAAAATTATGCTAGTAAAATAATTACGAAAAGAGTAAACATGAAATTAGGAATATAATGAAATCAACTTCAAAAATTTTAAAAATGAATACGAAAATTGTAAAAAAATACGAGAATTACACAAAAAAATTAAAAACACAAGGAATACGGCTAAGATAACCCGTCACCTCAGCCGTAACGTATCCTGTTATTAATATTAATACTCCACATTAAGTGCGTTATTTAATATTGATAATCTAATTATCAAGTCTCAGTTATGGAACAGTAATGGAATATCTACACTCAGAGAAATGAGGAGTCTAAATCTAAGTAACGATGCTTTTGTGCCATCTTAGGAGTCATCCTGACACGTAGTGTGGCCCCGAAAAAGGGAGTATTATAGTGCTATGTGCAGGAAGTGAGTCACTATTTAGACAATATGACTCACTGAAATCATAAACATGTTTAATTATGATATAGGTATTACTATATATATTAAATATTAATAATGCATAATTAATATATTAATTATACGTAAAATGCAGCGGCCACCTTGGCGAGGGTCGCGGCACTAATTAACTATATCTTCAATGTACAATTAAACAATATTTATTTAGCAACGTTATTACATAATTGAACATTAAGTCTCAATTATGGAATGTTAATGAAATAACAATAATTATTGCTGCTAGACCCAATTAAACAATACCAATTAAAAATTGTTATTAAATATTTAATTGGGTGCAATTAAATATTGTTTAATTGCACCCAATTAAACAATATTTATTCAACAACATCATTTCATAATTGAATAATTTAAATTTATATTATGGAATGTTAATGAAATAAGAATAATTATTACTACAAGACGCACCTTAGCAAGAGCCTCTGCCATCTCGAAGGTGCCGACCGTGTCCATGTTGGCGGCTATCACCGGAACGCCGGTCCAGGTCCGTCCGGAGTTCCGGAACGTTATGGAACGTTCCAGTTCTACCTGGAAAAGGTACAGGATTCATAAAATAACGAGAAAATAGCGAAAATTTTATTACTAATCATATTTGAAAGCTTCAGATCTGTCTGGAGTTGCGGAACGTTATGGAACGTTCCAGTTCTACCTGGAAGAGGGAGAGGCTATACATTTATATATATTATAACGAGAAAATACCGAAAATGTTATTATGAATGGTATTTAAAAGCTTCAGATCGTCCTGAGTTACGGAAGGTTATGGAACGTTCCAGTTATACCTGAATAACGCAAGAAATGATAAATGATAATTTCATCCGACACCATAGTTTAAATTTAAACCCCGTCCATAGTTATTTAACGTTCCAGTTCTACCTGGAAGAGGGAGAGAGGTTATAATAACGAGAAAAGAACCGAAAATTTTATTATGAATCGTATTTAAAAGCTTCAGATCGTCCGGAGTTCTGGAACGTTCGTTCCAGTTCTACCTGAATAACGTGAGAAAGAATAAATGATAATTTCATCCGAAATCTTAGAGAAAAGTTCTAGATCTTCTAGAGTTATGGAACGTTCCAGTTCCACCTGGAGAAGGGAGGGGAATTATTCACAAGAAAATGACGATAAATTCATTACAAGATCTTCTAAATGTATAATTCACAATTATTAAAATAAAAATCGTATTTAAAAGCTTCAGACCGTTCAGTGTTACGATCGAGGAAGGGAGAATGACGATGAATGGTTTATATTATCATGGATATAACATAATATTTGATGGGTAAGGAAATAACAGCATTTCATTCAGATCCGGCAATAATAATAATGATAGAAGAAAAATTTGATTTTCAGATCCCAGGATGAAAATTTCGAGTTTCGGAACGTTATGAAGTGTTCCAGGTACATCTGGGGGGGGATGGAAGGGTTGGGACAAAATTTGGAAAAAATCTCACTCATTCTTCTGAGTGTCTAAGCAAGATGGCGGCAATACGGCGAGGATAAATAAACGGTGACAGCGATGTCGGATTGTGGACAATAGTATTCAATATTATAAAAGTTATATGTTATTATGTTATTGTTATAAGATTCCATACACAAGCAGGTTATATATTTTATTATATCAACTGCATAAGCATATTATGCGATCACATCTATATTTATGTTACATAATATAATATTACGTTAATTATCAAGTTCTAGAGATTCATAACTAAATTTGCTTCAATTTCTTCAAACATCGCGCGTTTCCATGGCAACGGCAGACAATCTTGCAGAAAGCGAAATAATCGATGCAAGATCCTGGCAGATGCTAGAAGGTGCTGGCAGTAAGCCGTGACGGCTGAGATGCTGGCAGTAAAACGGCAGTGAGGCGGCAGTAAGACGGTAGTAAGGCGGCAGTAAGGCGGCAGTAAGACGGCAGTAAAACGGCAGTGAGGCGGCAGTAAGGCGGCAGTAAGGCGGCAGTAAGTTCGCTAACGCATCATACGTGCAGTAAAAAATGTATGGGTCACATTGTCAAAATAGTGACGCACAATGACACTGTTGCACTATAATGCGCCTCTTGCCGGGCCAATTTGGGTCAGGATGACCCACACATGAGTAAAAAGTGCATCGCCATTGAAACAAAAAAGAAATAAGGTTCTATAAGATTTCTAATAAGGTTTCTTCTACAAAGAAATAAGGTTCTATTTTACCACCGTAATCGGTCTGATTTCATTCGTCGTCTTTATATCGCGTTTTTTCATCCTTATCATGCACAATAAATTCTGCACCCACCGTATTTTTTCCATCACGTCTTTCTTTTCTGCACAAATATCTAATTATCTTTGGTCAAAGCTACGGAGAATAACAATTACCGATAATTACAATGATAAACAATAACAAATTATTTATCATCATTATAATATTGGAGGCATAAACGACAGAAATTTGGCAACACCGATGTATTTCGTTGAGAAAAATTTCACTCAAAGAAATAAGCGAAACTTTGTCCAAATAGCGGTGCAATTCTTGCCGTTGTGTGTGTCATCCCGAGCAAGTATGGACCGGGAAAAGGACGTTTCAGTGTTACCGCAGCAAGTGTGTCACTATTTGGACAGACTAACCCGTACATTTTTATCAGTGCACGAGTATTGGACTGGCTTTATTGCGCGTGTTAATGCTTTAATTAATTATATTATTATTAATAATTATATTATTAATTTAATTGTGTTAATTGCTTTAATTGTGTTTAATGCTTTAATTGCGTGTCACCGCACGCGATTAATTGCACGCAATCACAGCAGGTTTTTATTGCGTGGTAAGCCTCGTATTGATGAATATATACGGGGGTTCGGGCAAAAATACTTGTAACATTATATACGGGGGTTCTGGGGGAAAATAATGACTTGCAACATTATATACGGGGGTTCTGGGGGAAATAGTGACTTGCAACATTATATACGGGGGTTCTGGGGGAAATAGTGACTTGCAACATTATATACGGGGGTTCTGGGGGGAAATAGTGACTTGCAACATTATATACGGGGGTTCTGGGGGGAAATAAGGTTCACAAAAAATATTAATTTTTGCCAAATGAAACGGAAAACAAAGCAACATAACATGAAGAATTTAAATTAAAAAATACTTATATAATAATTATATAGCAAATTCGTTACAAGTTGCTATAAAACAGTGAGTTACGTACAGCCACTCTCACCTCGCATGCGTCAGGCAGCTGATAAGATAAAAAGAGTAACTATGCATGAAATTATCATTAATTTTTATGTTATTCGGTAATTCGATTATTAAGAGACATTACTGATAAGGAAAAAAAAGACGTTAACGGAGACCAATTAAAAAAAACAATAAAAATTTTCTTCTATGTATGAGGATAAGAATTCGATTAAATAATTTTGCTATCGATAAATTATGATGACAGCACATTCATGCAATTCAACTCTAGCGCAAGTCACAACGATTCATAATTGATTATTATGATAAATATGCACCATTTGCCACAATGGCGTCTATAACGACCATGATAAATATCATGATAAATATCTTGATCCGTGATAAATATCACGATAACTATCGTGGTCAATGCTAAATATCATAATAAATATTTCGGTCCATGATAAATACCGTAGTCCATAATAAGTATCGTGATAAATATCTTGGTCCACGATAAATATTATGATAAATATCTTGGTCCATGATAAATATTATGATAAATATCTTGGTCTATGATAACTATCCTTCGTTGTATTGTATAGACAATATTGTCAATTTTCATAGATAATTAAATCATTAGGACGGTGATCTACTGTGGATTGTTACCTTCTTTTGTTGAAACTTCAAACTAATGAAGCAAAATGACGACAAAATGTCAACTGAAATCAAATATAAGATTCAAGATTAAGGATATGGAATTCAAAAGACTAACTATATATAACAAATTAAGGTAATTTTACACAGCAGGAATTCATGTCTACAGAGCGCTAAAAATTCATGCAATTCAAACATTTGGATTCATATAAATTTTACTTTTAATATTCATACATTTAATTTGACCAGAATAAACGTATTTCATAACTTCATAAGATTAGGAGATAATTCAATGTTAGGAGGTAAGTTGCTCGAGCTTGATTATCGAAGACAGTCAATAATTAAGCTTATAATTAAATATCGGACCTTAATTATCAAATGAATATTTATTCAAGGGACACTAAGTAATCAAAATAAAGAAATCGGCCGCTATTCCGGCTTAGCCAGGGGCCAGGTCAAAGACGACTGCATTCAACAATTACACGTCGGTAGATGAATTAATGCGCGAAAAAAAAAAATACTGAAACGAAGTAAGCAATAAACGCAAACAAATTTAACTTCGTTCTGCACACAACGTAAGGCAGATGAAAGTTACTATTACATTAAAGGCTCGCGGCAGGAAGAAATGAAGATATAACTTTCACCTCTGAATAAGAAATTGGCCATTATTCACGTGTTCAATAAGGCGAAACATTAGCATGCTACTGACACAGCGAACATACTTGTAGGTTTTAGCGCAATCAGCTGATCGAGCAGAAACAGTCGTCTGCTCAACTCTTGCACCAAAACATCAACATTTTGCAATAAATTTTCTTACCTCCGATCTGGTCTTGAGAGTAGATCTTTTAGGGCGCAGTAGCACATCTTTAAAATCTAGTTTTATGTCATTATCTATACGAGGCATTATGAAGGATGGCTGGTAATGAGACGAACCACTGAAACGCTGCACACACGGACACTCACAACCTCTTCCTTCGAGCGCCGGTTGGCGAGTGGCGGGCTGGCGGCACCACAAGAAGAGCGCCCAAAAATAGGAACAAATGCAATGCTAAAAATGCAATGCAACACCTTATTCCAAATGAGTGTTATCTCATATTACTCAATTATCAAGCGTTGCAAATCAGCATGTGTAAATTGGTATGATTCGCTAAGTATCAATTGGTTTTAATCACCTAGTATCAATTGGCATCATTCACCAAATTTCAGGCACTATAGATGACAAGGTATAAAAACTATAAAGAATTGAAAAATCATATCACAGTGACCACCGATCGTTTAGGGCAGCAAATTTAAAAATTATTGATAAATATGACGTTAAGGCTCATCAAATTGATCGATTCGTCTATGTTAGCAGCTTGATCATTTGAATTATTTCACTAAAATATACTGATAGTAAATATAAAGAATAGAACAAAATAAGCATTTTGCTCGGAGTAGACCTTCTTAGCCTATACAGGCGAGTTTTTAAATTTATAAGCGAGCGTGTATCATCCACTGCTGAATCATTATATATATCATTTACCAGGGTGTAGATGATGTCCAAGTAATGCTGACGTTGAAATGTCAGACTCAGCAACATCAAGAAATGTTCGTGAGAATAGACATGAAAAAGAAAAAAATCATGAAAGAAATAGCTGGAGTTGGAATGTCAGAAGCACCTGAAGAAAATTTTAAAATTTAGATTCCATTGATTTCTTTTTCTTCTGCTTGTGCTTTCACGTATTTTCTATAACAATTCTGCATTATTTCCGTTCTCAAGCTCTAATGCACCTATTTCTCCTGAAAAAGTTCATGCATTCAATCTTTATTGTTTTCACTCTGGTGCCTCTCACTCTAGTGACTCGCACTCTAGTGAGTCTCACTCTAGTGTCTTTCACTCTAGTGAGTCTCATTCTAGTGCCTCTCACTCTAGTGAGTCTCACTCTAGTGCCTCACACTCTAGTGCCTCTCACTCGTGAGTCTCACTCTAGTGCCTCTCACTCTAGTGCCTCTCACAGAGAAACAAATGACACGTTGTCCTAATAGCGAGGCACTTTTTGCTCATGTATGGGTCATCCTGACCCACTTTGGCTCAGCTAAAGGGCTTAAACAGTGCTTCATCCGCTCTCTGCTTATGCCGTGCATGGGCACGAAAATGGGTCACTATTTGGACAATATTACTTATTCATATTTTTAGTGTACTAACTGACGAAATAAACTCAATCACATCAGGCATCTAACGTTGAATCAAATTTAATTATGCGTTTAAACGTAAAGTTTATGTGGAAAAAACTTCTTTTAAACGTTATTAGGTTCTTGGAGAGATTAATTCATAAATTTCCGGTCTGTCTGCAGTCCTTTTTGTTCATTAAATATAACTACAACTCATGAAAATGATTGGCTCGAATTGTCTAAATAATGACTTACTTCTTAGCCATAGTACTAGCAGAGAGTGGGAGAAAATTGCTTGACGTAATGAATGCTTCGGTTTCTGAATATTTCTCAATATCAAATAAACGAATATAGACTATAAAATTTAATGCGGAAACTATTATAAGTTCTACTTTCTAAATGAGGAAAATTCAATAGCATTGCCCAAAAAAATCGGTTCTACCACTCAATTATTTTATATGTTCCCTTCTTTGCAGGTAAAATATACAACAAATTTGAAGACAATTTCTTATTGCCTGCAAATATTGTAATAGGATTAAACGAAACGCAAAATAAAATTATAAAATAGTCGATTAAAACGGCAAGTCACAGTTAAATAATTTAAATACAATTAATCAACAGGAGGTTTTAAAAATTAACAAAAGAAATTCTTTTCATCGTATCTATCATTTTACTCGATTCTATAAGGTCTTGCATATGAGAGAGTGAGAGATCTTCGTCTTCGAACCTCGGAACTATAATCTGCTCAAAAAACGTCCGCATTTCGTTTTCTATCCGGGAAATTTTCTTCGTAAGCTTCTTCATTCGCTTTGTTGGGGCAGCAACTTCGCTTGCTGGAGTTTCCGAATTAGACGAGCACTTGGACCCCGATACTTTTATGTGTAAAGCATGTCTTTGTTGAAGTTCGTTCCTCAGATTTCGAAGTTTTGCAGCTTTGTTCAGCCAATGATAATATCGATTGCAAACTATTCTTTTAATTTCGTTTTTGAGAAATTGTTTGGTTATAACAGCAACCAATTGGGTTATTAATGCCATAACTTCAACTAACTGGGAAGCATTGAAGATTTTATCCACGGTACATGCACCTCGGGATACAGTTATACTACCGTCACCTTCGATCATTCTCACAACGTGCCTCGTAATGCTTTCTCCTGCTTTAATTTTTAAACTTGAGTACCCAAATAATAGTATGTCGTTAAAAAGTTCTGCCTCAAGCTCTTCTTCGCGGTTAAATACACCAGATTCTTCGAATTTAGAGGTTACAGCCAGAAAAATATCTTTTTCTTCGGGTATGTCATCTCCTTCCTCCATGAGGCGACGAAGCTGCGCTTCGAGTATTAATTCAGTCAATTCCCATCCTACTGGGTTTTCACGGTCGAATTCTTGATTTTTGAATGCAGTTTCACGTTTCGGTGATGAAGCACTTAGCTCCAAGATTTCATCCGAATATTTCAGCAACGAGGCTCGCAAAATTTCTATCAGTAGAGGGACAGAACCTACGATAAACTCAGAGTCATTTTTGTAGAATCGATATTGCGGCCTCAGTGGAAAATCACGACACATTCTAATGTAGTCGTCTTCAGTTCTTCTGTTCTCATCTCGGTTCCTACATACATTATCTTGATCATGTGTTGTATTCGTCTTTTCCTGCTTTGGGCGCACATGTTCTTCCATTTTTACTTTCCTCGAGTACCAACTGTTTAATGGGCTTGGTAGATGATCTTTACGGGCACTTCGCTTGTGTTTGAAGGTACCTCTTTGTTTTGGAGTTGGATTGGACGAGGTATTTGATGTCTGACTTCGCGTAGTAGTTTGCACCGTTCTAGACGGTGGGCCAATGCGAGTCGATTCTTGCGTGATTAAGTGTGGCGAATCTGGCACTGGGTGAAACGTCAAATTTTTCGCGGTATGCGGCATTTGATATGGAACTGGATCAGGTGCCTGATGTCCCGAGGGACCAGGGGCCAAGTTTAGCGAGGAACCAGTTTCCGAATAAACCGTGCGACCCCGTATAAGGTTTGGCGTGGCAATCAAAGTTTGGTTTGGATCTTTCGTGGGAGTTGGCGTGGGACCACATGTGAGGCTTGGCGTAGTAACCCAAGTAAAGTTCGGCGTGGGAACCAAAGTCATGTTCGGCGTGGGAAACAAAGTAATGTTCGGCGGGGGAAACAAAGTAATGTTCGGAGGGGAAACCAAAGTCAAGTTCGGCGTGGGAGCCAAAGTCAAGTTCGGCGGGGGAAACAAAGTCAAGTTCGGCGTGGGAGCCAAAGTCAAGTTTGGCGGGGGAATAAAAGTCAAGTTCGGCGTGGGAACCAAAGTCAAATTCGGCGTGGGAACCAACATCAAATTTGGCGGGGAAAAAAAAATTTGGTTTGGATCATTTGTAGGAATTGTTGCGGGGCCAAAAGTCGGGGCTGGTGTGGGGCCACACGTCGGGATTGCTATCGGGCCATAAGTCGGGGCTGGTGTGGGGCCACACGTCGGGATTGCTATCGGACCATAAGTCGGGGCTGGTGTGGGGCCACACGTCGGGATTGCTATCGGACCATAAGTCGGGTCTGGTGTGGGGCCACATGTAGGGATTGATATCGGGCCACAGGTTGGGGCTGGTGTGGGGCCACAAGTCGGGATTGCTATCGGACCATAAGTCGGGGCTGTTGTGGGGCCATGTGTTGGTTTTGCGATCGGGCCATAGGTCGGGGCTGGTGTGGGGCCATGTGATGGTTTTGCGATCGGGCCATAGGTCGGGGCTGGTGTGGGGCCACAAGTAGGGACTGATATCGGGCCATAAGTCGGGGCTGTTGTGGGGCCACAAGTCGGGACTGATATCGGGCCATAAGTCGGGGCTGGTGTGGGGCCACAAGTAGGGACTGATATCGGGCCATAAGTCGGGGCTGGTGTGGGGCCACAAGTAGGGACTGATATCGGGCCATAGGTCGGGGCTGGTGTGGGGCCATGTGTTGGTTTTGCGATCGGGCCATAGGTCGGGGCTGTTGTGGGGCCATATATTGAAGTTGGCGTGGGGCCAAATCTCGTGTCGAGGATCGAAGAGAAAACGGAAGAAATTGAGTGATGGACCGCAGGCCAACTCTGTGCTGGATCAGGCGTTGGAGTTAGCGAAGGGGCGGTAGTTGTAGTTGACGTTGGCCCGGGGTGCGCTTTTCGTGGGGATAACAACGTCGGGGTTGGCCCGGGGTGCATTTTCCGTGGGGATAAAAACGTCGGGGTTGGCCCGGGGTGCGTATTTCGTGGGGATGAAAATGTCGGGGTTAGCCAGGGTTGCGTATTTCGTGGGGATAAAAACGTCGGGGTTGGCCAAGGTTGCGTATTTCGTGGGGATAAAAACGTCGGGGTTGGCCCAGGGTGCATTTTCCGTGGAGATAAAAACGTCGGGGTTGGAACGGAATGCGTGTTAGTCGGGGATAAAAACGTCGGGGTTGGGATGGAATGCGTGTTAGTAGGGGATAAAAACGTCGGAGTTGGGACGGAATGCGTGTTAGTCGGGGATAAAAACGTCGGGGTTGGGACGGGGTTGGGCGTTGAAGGTAAGGGCGTTGAATCCGTGGTTGCATTCAACCTAAACCTAATAAATCTCGCCTTCCTTCTTCTTCTTGCCATTTAAGTTCACTTTTAAAATTCTGCGCTGCTAATTCACGAAAAAATTAAAATTCGTCAAACGGCATCGGATCGATATCTGAAACGGAAAAATTAATCTTTAATTATCTGAAATTTGTATAGTGAGGCAAAAATATAAAGCCGTTAGACAGGGTGACAAATTTTCGATTCTGGTTAGACTTAGACCACCCGAAATTACAGTTGCACGCGCAAAAATTATTGCTGTAATCGGAAATTCGCCTTTAATCGTAGATTTGAACCTACATTAAGACAAAGTCTTTGGACAAAGTTTCACTCATTTTTCCGAGTGTATATCAAATTTGGACAAACTTGGAACTCTGAAGAGCATTGGGCAACACAAACGAATTCCCTACAGTCAATTAAGCATATGAATTAAGCCTACAAATTAGGCCTACAAATTAGGCCAACAAATAAAGCCTACAAATTAAGCCTACAAATTAAGCCTACAAATTAAGCCTAGAAATTAAGCCTACAAATTAAGCCTACAAATTAAGCCTACAAATCATTGAATCTGCGGGAAACAGAGGCAAAAATGTCTTTAAGTAATGGTTTAGAATAGTTCCCATTCACACATCGTACAACGTTATTATATTTACTGAAACTTGAATTAAATAGGTGGCGAAAATATGTATGAAAAGCACTCGATTAAAAAAACTAGAAAAATTTTAGGAGATGAAAATTCGTCAAAAATCAATCCACCGCTATTACCATTCATTATGGCAGGCTTGTAGGCTGGTAAACTAGAAGAGCGATAATCGAAATAACTGAAACAACGATTGAATTTTTCGAAATTCCGACTCACTCAACGCGTTCAAAAATGCTACTGAAATCCACCAGCCAATCACAGACATTTGCATAATGAACTGACCAATCAAAGATATGAAATAAAAATATCTGCAATTGAATCTCTTTCAGGAACCGCAAAGACTATAGCTAGTCCAGCTCACAGTTGCACGCGTTTTACACCACTGACGTTACAATAGCATTGTTGGACAGAAGAAAATGATGCTATTGAACTATACTGTGTAAATAAGTAACTTAATTAAAAATTCCTTTGGGGGCAAGCTCACGATAAGGCGCTGTTGAACCACACCTTTCAGCTGTTGATATACAAAATGCGACGATTCAGCAATTAGCGATCGTCGACTTAGGATACATACGATTAGGTGTTGTTGAACAGAAACAACAGCTGTTGATAAGATGCGGGCGGTCGGAGATTAAACAATAAGATTCAAATTTCCTCTAAGGGGTTGGTCCTAAATTCAAGCTGTGATATGACTTTCATCATCAGTCGGGCTCTGAAAATTTACAGCACTTCCATAATGGGGGGAACGTCGATTTTGGTTTAAAAAAGGTTCAAATTTTTGGATATTTTACATCGTTTTGGTCTTTCTGCAGGCGGAAGAATTGAATGAGCCAACTGTTTTCGCTAAAATATACTTTTAACTATAGAACGCTTATGACTCATACTTGATTAAGTGTACAATAGCTAAAGTTACTTCATTCATCCCTAACAACATGTAATAAAACTTTTACAATTGATCCACAAACTGAAAACGTACAACACGAACAATTAAAAATCAGAGCCACCGAAAAGATTATAACTCTGAGCCTCTCTTTATCGGCGCGCGATTCGTCACGTACACTAATGCTGGGCACCAGTTAACCATCACTAGGTAATATGAATGCCTCATAGTGTCCAATTACTGACACAATGTTTATTTGGATTCACCCAAATCGTAGCAGTGATACACCTTTTTATCGGCCAGACTGTCAGAATGATCGAAACAAACTAAAAAAATGCATCGATATTTGGACATTGTCCCGCACAGTCTCGTCACTTCCAAAGCTGCAGTGTAGCAAAATGTCAGCGCCGTGTTGGTTGTCTCGGTAAATGGTTCTTTGTGAAACAAAAAACCTGATTTTATTTTCATTTATAATTATTATAGAGAGAAAGATTAATGTAATTCGCAGGGAATCAAATCCTTTACACAAGTAAACTAAAGAGTGCTTGGGATTGAAACTTAATTAAACTTATTTATTGAAACTAAACTAATACAGTAAACTATAGACTACTTGTAATTGTGAAAGTTTCATGTCGTGGGTGAATGTGGGATAGAATATGGGCATCTCTTGATACAATAGTAAAATTTCGCTCATTTTTTTATGTGTAGAGTATTGAGTCATTAATTGTTAACAGTAAATCTCGTTATAACATTAACTTCTAATTTTCTTCACAGGATATTGCCGCGCTGGTGAAAAATTTTTAAATAAAATTTAAGATATTAGCATGCAAAATTTACTTGCATGCTAATATTTGCGTTAAATTTATTTGCATGCTAACAGTTGCGTTACATTTATTTAGCATGCTAACAGTTGCGTTACATTTATTTGCATGCTAAACAGTCGCTTCATTCGAATTACTGACTGCTTAAAGACCTATAAGGAATATCACATATCCGAAATTTGGGGCAATATTTTATGTAAAAATTTTTGTACTCTCTAAAGTGTAGCTCTCTCTTAACTTTCCTCTGATGAACTGTGACGGCCTGCACTAATTAAAAATAGGCCTGCACTAATTAAAAATAGGCCTGCACTAATTAAAAAATAGGCCTGTACTAATTAAAAATTAGACCTGCACTAATTAAAAAATATGCCTGTACTAATTCAAAAATAAAGCGTCTGGAACAAGAGACAATAAAATCCACAAGGGCAAATATGTTGAGCTAATTTTCTACTTTAAATAATTTCTAAACATTCGTTTGTTGATTTGCAATTTTTCTGCGATACTTTTTTTCGATGCGTGATTTTCCAACCATTTCTCTGTCGTTTTGTAATTTTTCTAATATTCCTTATGACAAGAACGGAAGTCGGAGTATGGTTCTAATAATAGTAAGTGATAGTTAAAAGTTTGCATGTAGTTCTAAATTATTGGATATATATTTACATTACAACTATATATACGTTAATTGATGGATTTATACTTTAATTTCAAGGACCTTTTTAGTTCCGACCAAGTTGTGGCTGTGCCAAAAGCGTACAATTGGCAAATAAAAAAATTTTTGTTGATTAGAATTCACGTTTGAAGGTTAAATTTTAAACCCATCGGTGACGGATCAATCGACGAAGAATTTCTGAATAAATCCTGAAATATTTAATAAAAGTTTTATTCGTCTATATCACTGGCAAATAATTCAAGGTTGAGATTCGAAAAAACAAGCACAAAATTCGTACGCTCATAATGAATAATTTAAATTCCATTAGTAGTGCGTTAAACTTTTATTCATCCAGCATTCACAAAACGAATAAAATTTTACACTGACACAGTCAAAGAATCCCGTCCATTATGATGTTAGAACAATTAATGGAACTTTATCAAGATGATCAATCACTCGAAATTTCGTCAATAAGCATTTAATTTCATTTAACATGTGCAAACGATTTCAAGTTCAATTAATACAACCGTTCATGGTGAGGATGGAAGCGTTTATTTAAACCAGAAAAAAATTCAACTGCAATTCATAGGTAATCAGAATCCCCCTTCTAAGAGCGACAGAAAAATAAAACATTTGAATGAAACAGCTTAATAGGTTTTAAAAAGGATAATAGGGAACAAGCGCAGAGGATTACAACACCACCCATTAAAAATAATACCCTTTATTTCATTCTACGCATTACTTCTTTCATGGTAATGTGGAGGAAATAGATTTTCACCAGGAAATTAAAGTTATTCGAAGATTGGTTTGCTCGTTTCATTTTAAGGCTTCGATGGCGAGAAACCAACTTTTGGCATCTCGATGGGTGCCGTGGCAAGGTGATCTTTGTATGGGCTACTCAAAACGTTTCTGGATGGGCTGGTCAAAACGTTTCTGGATGGGCTGGTCAAAACGTTTCTGGATGGGCTGGTCAAAACGTTTCTGGATGGGCTGGTCAAAACGTTTCTGGATGGGCTGGTCAAAACGTTTCTGGATGGGCTGGTCATAACGTTTCTGGATGGGCTGGTCATAACGTTTCTGGATGGGCTGGTCATAACGTTTCTGGATGGGCTGGTCAAAACGTTTCTGGATGGGCTGGTCAAATCGTTTCTGGATGGGCTGGTCAAAACGTTTCTGGATGGGCTCGTCAACTTGGGATTTTCAACTTGAGAAGATTCATCCAATATTTTGTATTTTCCCTCATCACGCACATCAGAATTCGTTGAATTTTCCCTTTTTGCCCGAGCATCCTGAGGTTGTTCATTTGTCTCTTCCGGGCTTTCTTCATATGTTCTGCCACAGGTGACATTTTCATCTGGCTCCATTTCTTCCCTTTATTTCGGAAGTTAATTTATTCTGTTTAATTTGAAAGTTCAATTTCATTACTTTATATCGAAAATTAATTTATTCAGTTTACTTCGAAAGCTAAATTTTTTCACTTTAACTCGAAAACTTAATCCCTTCACTGTAATTCGGAAGTTCAATTTATTCAGTTTGAATTCGATGCAGTAGCGTTCATGCTCTTAATCCTTACTTGTCAGGCTTTCGAACCTGTGTCGCGGCCAGCGCATGTACGATCTATCTCATTTTAGAATTAAACACTGCAATGGTAATGAAGGTTGTACACTGATATTAATAGTGAAAAATAAAAATGCGATCGTAAGTCACAGATCGTTATATATATTTACTAGGATGACCGACAAACCTCCCTTGACAAGGCAACGGAACTTTAACTATTATACATTTAAAAGCATTACACAAAAATTAAAACGTTTCGGAGTGCGACTCTATCGTCAGAAAACGTTTCGGACTCCGAAACGTTTGCTATAAAGATATGGTGAACTTTTTCAGAAATTTATTTGCTATTCAGTTCACAGTGAATTTGCGATTTAAGCAGTTGAGTGACATCTATACTGGTAATTTTAATCATTTACTATGGTAAGAAATGTTATTTATCTATTTCACTATTTCATGAATTCATTCACTACTTCATTTCATTAGCTGTAAATTTCAATCATGAATTATGAATTTTTTAAAGTATACTTGATGGTAAAATTGTTTAATACAAAACTTGACTGAAGAATTTTTCATAGAGGGAGCACCGAACATAGATCTGAGTGACGAAAGGGCTGCGGGACGGGCCTTTCTACGGCCAAATTAAACTATTCTGGCCCTTTTACAATTGCTTTGGCGGACGAAAATCAATGAAGAACTTAAACTTATTACATTTATAAATAGATCAAAAACGATTTCTGGCTTTTAAACACTAAAAATTAAATTCTCACGCCGTAATTTTTTTAAATATATTGATTGTGGAACGTTTTCAGATGATCTGGCCTTTTTTTTCATGTCAACATCTGGCAACCCTGGGTACGACCACTTTGATCACTTCACATTAGAACGCAACTGCCAGAATGTGCCTACGGTTCTAAAAAAAATTTCATAGACTTCTTCTGTGGTGACGTCTTAATTTTGAGAATAGTGCTCGAAAGTAGGGTATAGTTAATGAGCGATCTAATTGTGTGCAAATTCAAACCTCTGTCGTGACTTGAGGCAATTAAACTTCTATTAGGTTTTGGCTGACGAATTTTTATTATATAACTAGTATGGGTATAATTACCACAACCAAAATACTCGAGTCCAGTCCATAAAAAATGTATCTCTCATTTATTATCTGCCAAACAATTCGAAGTCAAAACCGGAATGATTTTTTTTTCGCCAAGTTTTCATGACCGTGGATGCATTAGACCGAGATATTAAATCGGAAGACCAAAAATTTTGGCGCCATTTGTTCTATGGTCGATGAGTCAGCACTTGGAGATTTGCCACTAACAACGTTCCTTCTTTTCAATTGAAATATGCCTCCATCACTCTATAGATGAATTTCGCGAGAATGTTTGTATCAGACTAGAGAGACTCAAGTGTAACGTTAGGTAACATTTCTACGAAAGAAAATAAAAATAGAGCAAATTTTGCAATGTTTATTAACCAAGAAACTCTCAGCAGCAGGGCACAGACTTTAGTCACGATGACATAAAATAATAAAGTATCAACTATAATAACTAATCCCTGTAACTTACATGACACCCGCTAAGCTTATCAACTGCCAGTCTATTTATTCCCAAACTCCAATCAAGCCTAGGCAATTTTTTAGCGCGTTTTCTCATTTATGGAAAAAAATGCGCCATTGTGCTCATGTCCGCGTGTCCGTGACTTCACGTTTATGTCGACGAGAAAATACGCTTTCTGTAACTCACTGCAGTGAGTACTGAGTTATATTTTTTTTAACATGATCTCAATCCTTCAGGCATGAGCAAATCACACCTCTCAGGCGGATCACAACTGGATTTTTGTTGCAACCTATGTATTAACTTGCCACTTTTGTTTTAATTTGAAATTCTGACACATTTCCACCAGCCACTGGTTGTTGTGTGGAAGAGATAGTGGGTTAAAAAACACAAGCCGTGGGATTATTTAAACAGAATCCGCACTAAATACGACTAACCACGAAAGTAAAGTCATCACGTGGCTCTATTTTCATTAATCATCTAATTTGAATGACTTGAGAAGATTACACTTGCAGTGAACCCAAATTTAGAGAAAAGTTACCATACCAAAGGTAGAACGGTCGGAGCTTTGCCTAATATACGACTTTGTTTCATCTTCCTATCCTTACAACGAAATTAAATTATTGGACGAACTACACAAAAAAATGAGGTCCGCTGTTACAGCAAAATCTAATACGATATCAAGAATCATCATTGAAAAATAAAAAAAATGTCCTAAAAAACATCACGAGTGTGAATTAACAACAAATAAACGAAAACTTAACTGCTACACGAGTGAACGTTTTGTCACAAAACAGAACTCTTTTTACACGTCGCTTGTATGTTGTTGTTCTTGTAACAACAACAGCCCATCCTGGCAGTGGCGACTAGGGAGGGGGGGAGTGATAGGTCAGTTTTTCCGGGCACTCGGTGCCACTGGGAGTTCTACGACTATCACTGGCTCGCTGATCCGCCAGAACCATTTTATTGCATTACACAACACCCTGGACAAGCCAGGTACTCATTTATCAACCAGAGTTGGATGAATGGCCGAGTTGACCATGAGCTGAGCTTCCCGGTAGAACTTGTCCTCAGTGGAACTCGAACCTGGGAGCTGGGTGCGAGAGACAGAGTCTCTCACCACTGCACCACCACAGCTCTCGTCGCTTGTATCGTCAACCAGCGACTCGCTCTTAGTACTACACTCAGAGGAATCCGAGACTTTTTGTCTAAATAGCGATGAACTTCTGCTCGTGCCGCTCACCCTAACCCATTTGGCCCGACAAAAGGGCGTGCTACGCACACATAGTGCGTCACTACTTGGACAACACAACCCATTATTTCTCTGAGCGATATGGCCCGTCGTAGGATAAATTTTTCCTGACTTACCCTACGTCAGAGATTGTTTAATTAACGTACGAACATATTAGACGATAGGTTTATATCATTGGCGATTGTTGTATCGTACATAAAATACCTTAAGATATTTTACGTTCATAAAGTATCGGAAGATATTTTACAAAAAATTTAATAATAGTAAAATATCGGGAGAAATTCAACCAGGTCATTATCGATTCTTAAATCTGATCTGATGGATAATTGAACTATACACAGAATAATTAGTTCAGACTTCAGGGAGGTCGAAGCATGGAAATTATCAATAGCTGAATGCTGGAGATCTAAAACAGTAAAAACTGATGATGTTTTACTTAGAAAGTCTCGCATTCATTTAAGACAAATAAAAAATGCAGAATTTACGAAAGTGAATCTGAACAAAGATTTGTTAGAATCACCATATCTCGACATCATCAGACTTCCTAATTAATAGCAGAAATACCCATTTTCAGTCATATTTATCATGATGGACAGCAAGTAGAACATGTGTTCAGGCTGAACCACGCAGGACTGGCATAAAACGAAACCTTGTGCCTCGCCTACGAAGAAAAATGCTGGAAATACACAAAAAACGTCATATTTCAAGTAACCATTTTTACGGCTTACATCCACCGCAAGCTGCTTTATGTAAGAAATTTACTCTGTTCTCATTAACAGCACGTCAGGAATTTAGGTAAACCTATATTGACGCCTCTATTAGGATTACAGAACGCAATATATATTACAAGCCAAATCACCAATTATAATCAGAGAGTCGCGATGTCAAAACAATGGTCAAAGCAAAGATAACTTAACACATTTACTGGGAGAGAGATAACCTGACACATGACCTAACTCATTTACTGAGAGAAATAACATATACTGGGCTGTTTACTGGGTCATAGATAACCTAACACATTTGCTGGGCTGTTTACTGGATGAGAGATAACATAACACATTTACTGGGCGATTCACTGAGTGAGAGATAACATAATACATTTACTGGGCTATTTACTGGTGCGCACACTGCACTTGAGGGCCGTGCATGCCGTGACCGTGCATTTCGTCGTCGTGGTCGTGAGAGCCGCGCGATCGCTCCTCGAACTCCGTCAAGTTGACCTCCTCGTGGTCCTCTGGCAGGGGGGAGGCAGGGGCGCGGCCGCCCAGCAGCGACTCCAGCTCCTGGGGGAGAACATGTGATCAACATGTGATGAGAAGGGGAGAGCGTGTGATCAACGTGTGATGAGGTGAAGGGAACATGTGATGAAGGTGTGATGAGGTGGGGAGAGCGTGTGATCAACGTGTGATGAGGTGGGGAGAACATGTGGTCAACATGTCATTGGGTGACTGGAACATGTGATGAGGAGATTGGAACACGTGCTGAACATGTGATGAGGTGGAGCAATTTAATAGGGGAACATGTGATGGGGTGAGGGGAAGATGCGAAGGCATCAAAAACATCACATCTCTACAGTCACTCAAATTCTCCTCTTATTCGTAGCACTTATCCATCAGCTCATTCAACTTGTGTTGCTAGCGTTCCAATAATGAAACATTTAGAATGAATTACTAATTGCAATGACGATGCGACTAATGAAGTTCAAAAGCATAATGGAGCTAGAAAGTAGATATATTGCAGAGATAAATATAATACAAGGAAATTAAGCGCTACTTATGAAATTACGACCTAACGCAAGGACCACGCGTGTGTTCAGCTGTTAAATTCACTTAAATTGAGCGGCAAGAACATATTAGGCCCACCGTAACAAAGTTAAATTATGCTCAAGTTTAGTTAGACTCACCTTAAGTTTATCTCCCTCAGCGAAGTAGCTGGGTGGGAAGTCTACAGAGAATTGTACGTAGAGGTCGCCCCTTTCACCCGCCTGCTGGTAAATGGGCATACCTTCGCCTGTTATTCCTCGCACACAATCTGTAATAAAACAGTAATATTAATGCTCCACTTCTCTGATTTCTCACACTAAAGGATCGAAAAAGAACAAATTTTCAACAATTCAAGATCAATTTAGCCTGGAAACTTCATCAGTTACAAAATATTAGCTAAGTGTACAATAAAAATATAGTTCAAGATATTTAGATGAAATATGAGCTTGCAGAAATATTACGTCCACCCTCCCAGAGTGAGTGGATAGTGGTCGGGAGAATAGGAAGGTGGGAAAAACATGGCCGGGGGACTTACTGGGCTTTAGGACTTGTGGCAAGACTTACTGGGCTTGAGGACGTGTCCAGTAGGACCTACTGGGTTCGAGGACGTGTCCGGTAGGACTTACTGGGCTTTAGGACTTGTGGCCAGACTTACTAAGCTTGAGGACGTGTCCAGTAGGACTTACTGGGTTCGAGGACGAGTCCAGTAGGACTTATTGGGCTTGAGGTCGTGGCCAGGACTTACTGGGCTTGAGGACGTGGCCAGTAGGACTTCCTGGGATTGAGGACGAGTCCAGTAGGACTTACTGGGTTCGAGGACGAGTCCAGTAGGACTTATTGGGCTTCAGGACGTGGCCAGGACTTACTGGGCTTGAGTACGTGTCCAGTAGGACTTACTGGGCTTGAGGACGTGGCCAGCAGGGCTTACTGGGCTTGAGGACTTGTGGCCAGTAGGACTTACTTGGCTTGAGGACGTGGCCAGTAGGACTTACTGTGCTTGAGGACTAGGGCCCATGACTTACTGGGCTTGAGGACGTGACCAGTAGGACTTACTGGGCTAGAGGACGTGGCCAGACTTACTGGGCTCGAGGACTTGTGGCCAGACTTACTGGACTTGAGGACGTGGCCAGTAGGACTTACTGGGCTCGAGGACTTGTGGCCAGACTTACTGGGCTTGAGGACGTGGACAATAGGACTCACTGGGTTCGAGGACGTGGCCAGTATGACTTACTGAGCTCGAGGACTTGAGGCCAGGACTTACTGGGCTTGAAGACGTGCCCAGTAGGACTTACTGGGCTTGATGACGTGCGCAGTAGGACTTACTGGGCTTGAGGACGTGGCCGGGAGGATGTCTGATGACCAGCGAGCGGCCGTCCAAGTGGGTGACGGTGCTCTCAAAGCCGCACAGCGCCTCGGTGAGCGTTATTGTCTTCTGCAGGAACAAGTCCGCACCGTCGCGTCTGTGGGGACAACGCAACATTCAATATTTCTGAGTGTATTACACAATAAACAGAGATATGTACAGTTCAAAACCTCAAAGGTCAATAACTTGTTTTGATAAAAACGATTCTCCTCTAGTTTGCTTTCCATCGAGGTAAATGGTGTTTGATAAGTTACTACAATTTAAGCATAGTGGCAGAGCAGAGAATTTTTCATACTCTTAATTTAATTATACAAGTCATATACCTAGACCAGTAAAGTACAATAGAGTACCGTACCAGAATTATCATATTTAAGATACAGGTTCAGATTAGGAGTTGATGAGGAAATTAAAAATAAACTAATTTTAAATAATCACAGATTTGTCATAATGAATTCAAAGCATGTCTTCTTTATTCAGTTCGCACAAAATGATCCACAGGATAAGAGATCTTGTGCTCTCATTGGGGAATAAGATCAGAATCGTTTACATTCAAAATATACAAAATGAATCAAAAGACAACAAATCAAAAGACATCGGGACCTTTAGGGAAACACTGGAAGACGGGATAAGGCTTTATGACATGAAAAATTTAACTCAGTACTCACTGCAGTGAGTGACAGAGAGCACATTTTCTCGTCGACAAAAACGTGCAGTCACGGACACACGGACGGTCAGACAGACAGACGGACGGTCAGACAGACGGACGGTCAGACAGACGGACGGACGGTCAGACAGACGGACATGACGAGCACAATAGGGAATTTTTTCAATAAATGATAAAATGCACTAAAAATAAAGGGACTTTAGGAGCTAAAATGAACGCACTTGAAGATTGGATGTGGTTTCTCCTGCAGGACAATAAGCACGTTGCCGGGCTCGACCCCAGGCACCTGGTCGCCTTCGCCCCTAAATACAATCTTCTGTTCGTCCTTCATGCCAGCCTCGACCGCCACCTCGAGCAGCTTGGTGCTGGGCACAACCTTGCGTCCTAAACATGTCTTGCAGCGGTCGCTTTCTGCCATCACTTCACCTGCCACAGAACAGTGGATTAGCACACTATATAGGATACAATATAAACTAATACACAGTACATAAGATACTACAATATTAAGCACACTATATAGGATACAACATATTATATACTACATAGGATACTACAATATTATACAGGATTGGGAAGGCAAAGTGTGTATCCATCCTAAACATGTCTTGCAGCGGTCGGTCTCTGACATCACTTCACCTGCCACAGCACAGTGGATTAGCACACTATATAGGATACAACATATTATATACTACAATATTATACAGATTTGGGAAGGCAAAGTGTGTATCTACACATTACATGTGATACGAGGGTGGGTTAGAATTTAAGCTGCTTGTGCAGTGTAGGCCGCCAGTAGCGGCCAGTGCTACATTAAAAAACTAACCGCCACTAATTCTCAAGACCACTGGCCTTGTGTGAAGGTTACTGAATCCTTCCGTGGTCAGTAGCTCATGTACAGGAGGCCAATATCGCGGTAAATAGTGACTGTTGGTCTTTTATAGTTTTACTAGCCGCCACTACTATCATTATGTACAGATACCTAAGGCATTTGTAGGTACCTTACAATTATCTAATACAGCATCATGAATCATGATTGAGTTGCCTTTCCATAAATAGCATGGACAGGGTAATATCATTATTACACAAGCAATAACTAATAATGGGCATGCGTTCTCCAGCATCATGCTTTCTATATAGCTTAGTATTGGGTTAGGATGGCCATAGCGTCCTCAGTTAAAATTTGAAATGTACATCAATAAATTCCTAGTATTTTTAGGAAGGAGCCCTTCATTCAAGCAAGTTTATTTAGTAATAAATTTTTATGAACATTTTGTCGTTTTATTGATTGAAATTGAAATAAATCCGAAGGAAGAAAAATCCAAAGAGCTTGTGACCTATATTAGATACGGTATTACTAATTGGTTCTTTTCCATCAATTTCTCAGGTTGCACAAAGAATGTGACAGGGACTTTACAGAAGTATAGAGAGGTTATATACACAATAAAAAATGATAAAGATTTTGCAGAAGACGAATGAAATTGCAGAACAAATTCTGCAGAAGACAAATGAAATTTCAGGAAAAATTCTGCAGAAGACGAATGAAATTGCAGAGAAAGTTCCGCAGAAGACAAATGAAATTGCAGAAAAAATTCTGCAGAAGATGAATGAAATTGCAGAAAAAATTCCGCAGAAGACAAATGTAAAGGCAGAAAAAATTCTGCAGAAGACGAATGAAATTGCAGAAAAAATTACGCAGAAGACAAATGAAATAGTACAAAAAAATTTGCAGAAGACGAATGAAATTGCAGAAAAAATTCTGCAGAAGACAAATGAAATTGTAGAAAAAATTCTGTTGAAGATGAATGGAACTGTAGAAAAAATTCTCACCTTCTCCATCACAGCTGCGGCATTTGCTCTGCATCTGCTGCACCATGCCAGGACCGATCTGGTTCACGGTCACCGTGATGCCCCGACCCCGACACTCCCCACAGGTGTTCATTGTGCCGTGACCGCCGAGTCTGGAACAAGAAATTTTCTAGTAACAAGAGGTATTACTTTCTAAAATAGTTGACAGTTCATATCATCAGTCAATCAGTGATTGCTTTTCAAATTTTAAACTAAACCAACTAATGAAAGACGAGGAATCGGTCGCTACGTCTCGGGTTGCTACGTGTACTTGGGTTGCTACTTGTACTTGGGCAGCTACGTGTACTTGGGCAGCTACGTGTTCTTGCGTTGCTATGTGTACTCTTGTTGTTAAGTATACTCAGGCAGCCATGTGTTCGTAAGGAAGCTTAGAAAGTACGACTGCAAGTCAAGATCTCTCATATATTCTAATGAAAATGGACGAATCCTACTGTCCTAATAGTGACGCATTTTATTCACATAGCATTGATACGCCCTTTATTGGGTCAAGCTGAGCTGGAAAAGTTTTCTAAACTGCATTACTATTTAGGCAGTCTCACTTATTTCTCTGGATGTAATTAAAAATTGCACCCATTTCTTACCTACGATAATGCTAGGTATAAATAAAACCTTGTTGGTGTTGAACATTGGAAAAGTCTTGTAAAGTCACATTTTGTTCACAAATTTTCTGAGACAAAAAATTACATTAAGGTTTAAAATGAAGGGAATGATTTTTTACTAAGACCCTAGCATAAACCAATTAATTTTCTCAATTCTATTCTCCTTTCAAACACAAAGGGCTATGAATGTCATGTCAAACGCCTTGAATGCATTTTCAAATCAACCTAGGAACATAATCTTCTCTTTACTAATAATTGTTTATAAAAAAGGGAATCCCTAACCAAACAAAGATCCTAAATTGTCTTACAAAATTAGAGCTAATTCAAGCATTTCTTTTAGTTTTGTCACCAGGGAGGATTGAAAAATATCATCACTTCATTCAATTGTGCTTTCTGATTGAATTGAAATGTTTACTGTTGCCATATAAAATATAATTATAAGGTTTACTGTTTGCTAGAGAGCTGTCATAGCTAGTTTTTCTCATAGCTAGTTTTTGAAGAGACAGAATCTTATGCAGAACAAATATCTGTACGAAAGTTAATCTATTATTTCAATTGCAGTCGCATATTGATGTTACTCTAACAATAAATATTGTAATGTTATCAGAGTCTATAATGGCATGGTTATCACCAGTTTATTGTACCTACACTCCGATAAATACACAGGTCATACGGTATTGTCCAATTAGTGACACTTTCTGCACAGTGATATACCCCCTCGGCAGTGCTAACTAGATCAAGATGACCCACACAGGAGTAATAAGTCCATCACTATGTGGACAAAATCCATTTTATTTCTCGAAGTGGGTTGAAACAACTAACTAACAACATAGTGGGAAACAACTACCCTAACAAAATTTAGAGTCGCCCTGTTGTGGGAAGCCAATTTCAGTGATATTGCAAGGAAGTAGGATTTTCCTACTAGGGGTCCTGCAAACCCCCTTCTCCTGAAATGCAATGTAATGTGAAATTAAAGTACGAAATTAAAGCAAAAGTATGTATCAATTTCAGTGTTGACATCATAGTAGAGTGCTCACTGTTTGATATGCATCAGTAACTTAATCATGCTAAAGTTAATGTAACAGATATTTTTTATGGATTTAGTGCACTCCTTAGGTTATCATATTAATCTGTTTTTGCTTTTCAGACTGGGTAAAGCAGGCAAACTTAAAAAATACCATTATATGAGGTTATAGACCCCGTGCCTTGGTTTTGCGCTTATTCTTTTTCTTCTCTGTTCAATGTATATACCTGGTTCTTCTTGTTGTGTTGTTCAATAAATTGTTAAATAAACACAAGGAAAAGTCTAATAAAAAGGTGGTTTGGGATGGTTGTAGGGGAGGTGGAGACCATCACCAATTCCTTGTTTGCTTGACACCCTTGCAACAAACACCCTCAGGCCCAAAACGTAGCTGGTAGCATGATAAATAGAGTCCTACTACAGCCCCATCTACTGGTAATCCAAATCTGAAGCTGCCGCGTCTGTAAATTTTCACTGGGTATGGGTGGAACCTAGAGTTGATTTTCTAGAGCTTACCCGCCACAGTCTGTGCAGATGATGTTCTTAGAGAGCTGCAGCTTGGCCACCTTGCCCATGTACAGCTCCTCCAGGGATACTCTGTTGGGTTCAACATATTTATTAACAGAAAGAATAATATCATCTACAATGTTAGGTGTGTCTAGTTTAACACATTTATCAACAGGAAGAAATAATAATATCTACAATGTTAGGCGTGTCCAGTTTGACACATTTATCAACAGGAAGAAATAATAACGTCATCTACAATGTTAGGTGTGTCTAATTTAACACATTTATCAATAGGAAGAAATAATAATAATAATCTCTCTACTCTCATCTAATCTCTCATCTAATAAATAATAATCTCATCTACTATATTAGGCATGTCCAGTTTAACACATTCTTTAACAGGAAGAAATAACATCATTTAGCCCTTGTCAAACTACTATTTTACAATATTATAATATAGTACCAATTGTAGGTACAGCTGTAACTAGACAGTTCAGCAAGGGTTTAAAAGCATAATATCAACTATCATTTTAAAAATATTATAAACATTATGTTACCTAGAAAGAATAAGCCAAGATAAACAGATGTGTCAAGATTTTAGACATACCGTAGTCTAAGATTTTCATCTACTACGTACCAGCAGAGCAGTTTCAAGCTTTTCTAAACATAAATTTAGTCTTCAAATTCCCAACCAGATAAAGTAAAACCAAAACATCAACATGCAGTAAATGGTTGCACATACTATTTTTAGTTCTAAATCAATAAACAAAGCTTAAAACATAAATTTTTATATACCGTAGGTATCATAGACACAACAATTTGGTGCTACCTACCAACAAGGTAATACTAGATGTAAGTAGGACATTTAACGGCACATCATGTTAGCACAAGTACTGTGCAATAAAAATTTATTGCCTTGATCATTTTTATAAGGCAATATATATATATATATATTGCCTTATTGGCAATATATATATATATATATTGCAATATATATATATATTGCAATATATATATATAGCAACAATTTTTTTGACTTGAGCATACATATGTAGCCATAATAAATTTTAAGTAAGACATTCCTATACTGTAATGATACCGGTATATACTAGCTTCTGCATACATGCACAACATTTATATGTATAAGCTTATAGCCACAATTAACTCACTTGAGTCGATGTACAGTGTCTTCTCCTCTGGCCGGCCCTCTGCGGCGGCCACCACCAAAGCCACCTAGAAATCCCCCAAGACCTCCAAATGGAGATGGCATTCCACCTCCACCACCACCAAAGATGTGGCCAAACAGATCATCTCCACCAAAAGCTTCATGTGGATCCTGGAGCAAAGACATGATGATAATATTTTGATGAGACTAATTTAATGAGCTGCTGAAAGGAGAGGTATTGATAACAGTGTTATTTATCAATAAGATGGAATTTTAGAATGGTAGTCAATACATTCTAGTTGTAACTAGATCTTGATATATAGGATCCTAGATGCAAGATTGACGTAACTAGATCCGTTTCAAAATATGTGAATTATACAAGGAGAGTCTAGTTTCAGGGCTTTTGTTCTGATCTGATTTATTTACATAACAGATGCCTGTTCCTATATTACCTTTTCCAAATTGAAAAATTATGAATTAATGGATTAATTAATTAATCCGACACTTCTCAACAAATGATAAGCTGCTAAGCAAGAGAGGTGTCAATAAGAGAGGTAAATAATATTAAATATCTTCTTAAATTAATTATCTTCTTATATTAAATTATTTTTTTTTCTATTGCAGTTTTAGATTCAATATTTTATTCAGTCAGGAAAAAAAATGGTTTCGTAACAACAAAATATTCTTAACACACAACAGGCATAAATGTAGGTTCTAAGAATCTGCATTTTCCAAACAATTTTGAAATTTTCTCATTAGAATAAAATTGTTAACTGATTATTTCAAAGATCATTAGTAATGGGACTATTTAGCTGATAAAAGTGGTCAAAACCTAATACTACTGATATTTTAATATTAATCATTGATGTATCACAACATTCACAGTAAAAACTTGTTTATCTTCAAACTAACAATTTTCAAAGAAGAACTCACCATTTTCAAGTGTGTGAAATATTAATTATAAGCTAATAATATTTATAGTTGGAATGATATTTTATGAATTTGCCTGCTAGCAAATATTCTGCTATAGCATCTGCAAAATTTGGAGAGAAAAATGGCAATAAATTAATGAACATTGAGAAGAAGTGGGCAACAAATTAGAATTAAAATAAATAGTCCAGGACATTCATCAGGAAACAATGAAGTGCTAGGCCAAGCCAGTCTGTAAACTTGGGTAGCTCATCTGCTGACATGTCCATGTAAAAAGTGGATGCAACAGCAGCATGCATGTTGGCTGTAGGAGCAGCTACAATGGATACAGTTACAGCACTACATTTATAAATGTTTCTAGGCTTTCTTATAAAGGCAATGAAAGGAGTGATATTTTTTGACCAAATAAAGTTGTTATTCAATACCATGGCATAAATAAATCTGGTTATATCAACAAGATTCAAAGACCAGTTGAATACAAATCATTTTTGCATAATTACATGAGAATTACATATTAGTTTTAGTATACCTGTTGAGCAGGATAGGAAAGCTCCTACTTTTTTCTGACATAAAATGACTCCTATCACACAATTTTCTTAGGTAGGAAATAATCCCACAAGGTAGGAAATAATAATATTGGTTTGAGCAAAAATATAGCAGTCCAGAAACATGTCATTGCAAAAAATTTGGAATTTCCCCAGTTCATTAGGGTAAACGTGGTATATTCCAACATTGTGGGTAATTCCGACACTTCTCAACTTTTTCCTTTATATTAAGCTTTTTCTTAGTTCTAAGCATTCATTGTTGGTTGAAATAGTGACATCATACTCTTGCGTGCCATACTATTGCCAAAACACTAGGTCTGGGCCGTCTGGCTGGAAAATGTTGAGATCCAAAGAGAGAGAGTGCGCATCACCCATCGAGAACATCGAAAAATGTGTCAAAGTTGATAGTTGACCTTGCTCTACCAAATAGTGATAAACTGCTTGTAGAAAGAATATTATGGTTTGAGACTTTTGAATAAGTCTGTGAATATATTAGGAATACTTTAAGTATACTTGTATTTGCTGATTTCAAGTCATAAATAAATTAATAGATGATCAAGTTAAGAGACGGTTATAGACACATAAAAACTAATTCCGACACAGCTTGGAATTGGACACACACAGCTCATTCCAAGCTGTGTGCAAAAATTAAAATTTTCTTAATTAAAAGCTTAATAGCTTTTAATTAAAAGCCTAAATAAGTAGTGTTCAATATTCAATAGTGTTCTAATTCCAAGCTGTGCCACATTCCAATACAGCTCACACAGCAATCGGAATTTGAACACAAGAGTGTCGGAATTACGAATTAGTAAGTAGTGTTTGAAACGCAGCCAGAATTAGTCTCACAAAATGCCTAATTTAGTCACACACAGTGTCGCAGGCATGGAATATATCTACTTGGCGAGCCCGGCCGAGCCGCGACTGAATTTTTTGAGCCGTGATTTTACGGATTTGCCAGCCGTGATTCCATTTCTTCGTGGCCGTGATTCCAGTTTTTAGAGCCGTGAATTCCATATCTTGGCCATGAAAAGCCATTTACAAGGCGCAAATTAATTTACAAAGTCCATGCATGTGTTACCCCAAATCTCTAATTTTACCCTAAAACAGCAAATAGTCAAACAGCAACAATAACATTTGTCTTTACTGTAAGCTGAACTTGTGTTAATGCAGTCTGACTGATGTGGCAGCAATTATGCGCAATCTTCAAGAAAACGTTTAGGTTGACTCATTTACATTACAATGATTACGTTTTGCAGGATATTTTGGCGGGAACGGTAAAGCAATAATGCGGATTGCAGAAGGGGAAAATTGTATGAAATGACAGCCTGACAGGTTTGCAAAGTGCAAACCGCAGTTTTTTCAATCACACAAAAATTTGTGACATTCAAGCTGCGAGATTTCACACCTACTGAAATTATATGATATTAGAGCCGCAATATTATAAAAAAATAGGACTTTTCCAGCCCTGCAGTGTGTCGGAATATATGGACTTGGTAGGTTTGCATTCTAAAGGCTTTTAAATAAATATGGCAACATTTTGTGACGTTTCATTGTTTCATCCATAAGCGATGTTCCGGCCTGCGCTACATCAGACTACACCGAAGATTGGATCTGCCCTACGTGCAGATGGTCTGCCCCGCCCCCAGCCAGACCCTCATCCCCCTCGCCCCCCTGATTCCTCCCTCGCCTTCCTCAACGACGATTCCCATACCCGCCGCCCCTCACACGGCCCACCCTCCTCTCCGGACCTCGCAATCATCAGCGATCACCTTCTACTCGACACCTCCTGGACCCCTCAAGTTGCCCTGAACTCGGACCACCTGCCCATTCTGATTCACCTCCTTTCCTCCGTCGACTCTTCGACCCCCCGAGCTGCCTGCACTTACGTCAACTTCAAAAAAGCTGACTGGCCCGCCTACACGGCAGCCACTGAAGTGGCCCTCCAGATGGTCCCTCCCCCCACCTCGTGTGGCGGCGAGTCAACCTTGAGGGAAATCCTGATCGCTGCAGCCAGACAGCACATCCCTGTTGGCTTCCGCAAGGACTTCTCCCCCTCGGTCAACCCTGGCACCCGGTTGCTCATTGAGCAACGGGATGACATCAGGGCTCGTGATCCATCAGACCCCCGGCTGCCAGATCTGAACTTGGAAATTAGCATTTCCATCCTGGCCCACGCCAGAGACAAATGGCGAACGCACCTTGCGTCGTGCTGTAGGCGCACAAACCAGTCCAAGCACTGGAATCTCCTACGCTCCCTAGCAGGAAAGCATAACCGTCCTCCCCCCAATCAGCCAATCCAATTTGGTCTGAATACCCTCTCATCTCAGTGCAAGATCTCCTCTGCCTTCTGCAAGTTGTTCACTTCACTTGCCCCCCACTCCCAGTGCCCCTCCACCCGCCGCCTTATACGTAGAATCCGGGCAGATCATCCCCTGGACAGGGACTTCTCCCCGTTCACACCCGACATGGTGAAGCTCGCTATTGCGGCTGCCAAGAACTCCTCCGCGCGAGGCCCGGACGGGCTCATGGTCCTGCATTTTAAGCACCTCGGACCACACGGTATCCAATTCCTCACCCGCATTTTTAATATCTACATCGCCACAGCCTCTATCCCATCCATTTGGAAAAATTCAATAATTATTCCAATCCTCAAACCGGGCAAACCCGGTAACCAGGGCTCTTCCTACCGCCCTATCTCCCTCCTCTGCCCTGCAGCCAAGATCCTAGAGCGACTTGTGCTCCCTTACATCTCGGGCTCTCTCACCACCGTCCCCTCGCAGCATGGTTTTAAGCCGGGACACTCCACTGTCACCGCCCTCCTCCCGCTCGCGCACCAGATCACGACGGGCTTTAACTCGCGGCACCCTCCGGCCCGCACAGTAGCCGCGGCGGTCAACCTCTCTAAGGCATTCGACAGTGTCGACCACCCCCTCCTCCTGAGCATGATCGTGGCCTTGGACCTAAGTCACAACCTGGTCCGATGGCTGTGCTGCTACCTCCGAGGCAGGCAGGCATCCTACCTCTATCTCCGGACCCAATCGCCTTGCAGAGCTATCCACTCAGGCATTCCCCAGGGCTCGGTGATCTTGCCAGCCCTCTTTAATCACTTCATTTCAGACATCCCAGTACCTACCACCAATATTGCCTCATACGCGGACGACCTTACCATCTTCGTGTCGTCCCCGAGACTCGACGATGCGGAGGCCGAGCTTGCCTCGCTCCTTCGTAACGTCTCCGACTGGTCGGCAGCCAAGAAACTGGCCGTGGCTCCTGGCAAGTCATCGGTCACGCTCTTCACCCCAGATACGCACTAATCCCGTTACCACCCAGCTGCCACCATCTGCAATGGCATCATCCCACTGGACAAAACCCCCAAAATCCTAGGCGTCACCTGGGATACACACTTCACCTTCTCCCCGCATGCAAGAGCCATTGCCACGAAAGCGACAGGTTCTCTTCGCATACTAAAAGCCCTTGCTGGCACCAACTGGGGCTTCTCCAAGGAGGACATAGTTGCGACCTACCGTACCATCACGCGCCCAATTCTCAACTACGCGGCCCCCATCTGGTACCCTGTTGCCTCCCGCACAGCAGTTGCCAGTCTGCAGACTATACAGAATACCGCATTGAGACTAGCCACCGGCTGCCTCAAAATGGCCCCGATCTCCCATCTGCACCAGGAGACCAGCATCCTCCCTTTGCCCGAGCACCTGGACCTGGCCTGCGCCCAGTTCCTCGCCAGCGCCCTCCAGTCCTACCACGCCTCCTTTTGCGTGGCTTCTGCCCCTCTGGGTGACCGCCCTATGAAAGCCTTGATACAGTCAAGGTTCGGCCATCTTGTCACACCACTCTTGACAAATGGTATCCTGCCTGCCGGGACATACGGAGAAGCCAAGCGGTCTCTCCGCAGGGAGATCACCTCCCGCATGGCGGCGACTGCCGCCATAAACGCTGTCCTTGCTGCCCGCCGCCGCCGATTGCTTCAGCGGAGACCTCTCTCCCTCGCCCGTACCGCTCAGCGTTATCCCAGCTCCGCTCGGGAAACTGCAGCTCCCTGGCGTCCTATTCCGCCAGGATCGGACGCTCCCCTAGCTCCGCCTGCCCGGAGTGCGGGGATCCCCTCCAATCTGTTCAGCACCTCTTCGTCTGCCCCGCTTTCCCCACGTCTCTCAGCGTCTCCTCTCTGTGGGACAGCCCCGTGGAGGTAGCGGCTTTCCTAGCCACCCTCCCTGCCTTCGCCCACCTCCCACCTCTTCCGGTTCCGGCCCCCTGCCCGCCACCAGAGCCTCCCCCCCGGCGTGCGTGACGTCGCAACCAACAACAACGTTTCATTGTTGCTAGCACATAGTGCGGTGTTTGGAGAGTGACATAAAGCAAACAGAACTCAAGTTGCGCGTAAGGTGATTTTTTATAGCCATTCATTTTTTGATTCATCCTCAAAGTGTCGGAATGTACCGCGTTTATCCTACCATGCTTCAGCCAAAATTGG